GAGCAGGGAGCCCGATGCGGGACTCGATCCCAGGACTCCAGGATCATGACCTGAGCCGAAGGCAGTCGCTTAACCAACTGAGCCACCCAGGTGCCCCTTTTGCCCCTATTTTATATTTCTTTGGTAATTTCAAAGGGCAGTTTGAATGATGAAGAAATTCTGAACTTATTTCTTTTCCTGATCTTGCTAGCCAAGAGTTTATTACGTCAGCTAGCTCTACAGGACACTTACTCTATGTTGTGCTTTATTGAGCTGGATGTTTGGTTACTTCTTCCTGAACAGACAAAGCTGTTCTAATAGTTTATCAGTTTTCATCAGATTTGAATATGAATTAGTGAAATCACTATTAAATATAAAATGACCCCTTAGGGAGTCTTTGAAGCTTAATCTTTCTCTTTGAGGTTTATGATGTTTGGAAGTTGTAATAAGGCTAGTATAAATTTTTTTTGGCATTATTTTTTTATTGACATATAATTGATAATGTAACATTGTGTTAAGGTGTACATGTTCATTTGATATACATATCATTGTAATACTACCATGATGTCACCTAATATATCTTTTTTGTGAGTACATTTAAGATCTAGTCTGTTAGCAACTTTCAAGTATATAATACAGTACTATTAACTGTAATCACAATGCTGGGCATTAGGTCCCCAGAACTTTGTCATCTTATAACTGAAGTTTGTACCCTTTGACCAACATCTCCCCAATTCCCTCACCCTCTGGTCTGTGTTTCTATGAGTTCAGCTTTTTAAGATTCCACATATAAGAGATGCCATACAGTATGTCTTTCTTGATTTAAACTCACTTAGCATTGTGCTCTCAAGGTCCATCCATGTTGTCTCAAATGGCAGGATTACCTTTTCTCATGGCTAAATAAATATTCCATCTCTCTCTCTCTCTCTCTCACACACACACACACACACACACACACACACACACCCCACATCTTTATCCATTCATCCACTGATGGACATTTAGATTGCTTGCAGCCTTTATATGTCCCATTACAAAGCTTAAATCATCATTACTTTCATAAAATCAAATGGTGTAAAAAAACAAATGATGTTAAGTATCTGTGTTATATTTAGACTATGGCTTATTTTCACAAATCACACATAAACTTGTTTAATTTAGTTCCCAGAATATGTATCTTTTTTTTTTTTTAGGATTTTATTTATTTATTTGAGAGAGAGAGAACAAGTGAGAGAGAGAACACAAGTGGGGAAGGGCAGAGGAGAGAGAGAAGCAGGCTCCCCACTGAGCAGGGAGCCCGACACGGGATTTGATCCCAGGACCCTGAGATCACGACCTGAGTCGAAGGCAGACGCTTAACTGACTGAGCCTCCTAGGTGCCCCCCAGAATGTGTACCTTAATGTGGATTGCATTCTATTTTTATCTGTCCTTCTTTCTTACTAACAAGAAGCTCTGTGAAAACAGGGACAAGTTTTTTTTTATTCCTAGCCTTTAGCACTGTGAACGTTTTTAAAATAATTACTATGCTTATTTAATAATTTTTTTAATTGCTTGATTTTTAGAGATAGAAGAGGCTCCAGCAATTCTATAAGCCATTGGTTTTTTTAAATCTGTATTCCGAAGTTCTAGAGTCCTGAGGGTCTTGCATTGAAATGAGGTGGATAAGAAGTGAAGAGTTGCACACCAGCTGAACCAGAGGATTTGTGTTACCTGTTTCACGCTTCTCTTACTCCTGGGCACTGTGCCCGGATCGGAGTGTAGGAATGTGTTCTTCCTGGACATGCAGGACTGTCCCTCACCCGGGACAGTACTCCTGCTTCCTCTTTGGTCATCAGCACCACTGATCACACGCTAGCTGAAGAAGAGAAATGTGTCCCTACACCTGCTCTCCCTCTAAAGACTTCACTAACAGAAGCTTTATCTAAGAAGGTTCATTGGAGTCAATGAAGTAGACCTCAAATATCAACTTTACATCTCCTGAGGGCAGCATGGTGTCTGCAAAGATGGACTTGGGAGACGAATTACCCTTTCACCTACTAGATGTAGATGCCGGCAAGGTCTACCTTACCCTTTTTGTACTTCGGTAAACTCATTTAGAAAATGCCCACAAGCCTTCTTCACAGATATTAAAATGCTTGGCATATAGTAGTTACTCATTGTTCGTATTCTTCCAACCTAACTCTGTTTATTATTAAAGATTAATATCTCTGAGACGCCTGACTCATTTTTATTACTTTTCAGGCAGTTTTGTACAACGACAGATCTGTTCTAGAAAATCATCATGCTGCATCAGCTTGGAATCTGTATCTCTCTCGCCCAGAATACAACTTCCTTCTTAATCTTGATCATGTGGAATTCAAGCGCTTTCGTTTTTTGGTCATTGAAGCAATCCTTGCCACAGATCTTAAAAAGCATTTTGATTTCCTTGCTGAATTCAACGCCAAGGTTGGTGACACAACTTACTGTCTGGTTTCAGTGATGGAAATCACTATTGTCAGTATTACTGCTAAGTGTTTTTTATAATGTTAAGTTAGAATTAATACTACTCATAAAGTCATAATACCTGATGTGATACGATATGTATGTCAGTATTTTTTAAAATAACTTTTTTTGTTATAACATGTCCTAAACATACTATCACTTGCTACCTTTCCTTTCTGACACATAGACTTACAACTTTCTTTCACATGGTGATAAGCCAGTTCATGATGTCAAAAGCTTTTAGGGGCAGACTGGAGAACGTTGTGCACGGTGCCAAGTAAGTTATTTTATGAAATTAAAGATGTGTTTCTCTGAGCCAGTTATGTGTCCCTCACTGCACCTGTTAATCCCTTCTTCCTATTAGTCTTTAACTGGCTGGTGTGGGAGAGAAGTAGCCTCCACTCTTCCACTTGAGAATAATGTGCTCATTGAACGAGTCCTGGGATTGCCCTCTCTGCCCAGTCGCGCCAGCAGAGAATAAGGAGAGAACAGGTGGAAATCCCTGCCGTCAGGGATTCACAGTCAGTAGGGAATTGAGAATCACTGTCCTCAGGTGACAGGGGTACTCCCTGGAAGGTGTTCTGTCCCTCTGAGAACCACTGCTTTACAGATTACTGCGGGAAGGCTGCTCCTGCTTTGGCTGGCAGGAAGCTGTTGCCGATGACATTTGTGACAGAAAGGAGAGGTGTACCTTCGGGCTGGAGGAACTGGTAACAAGGGAATACTAGATTTAACCCCTTGCGTGGCAACCCTTTATGTGGCTGTCGTGATATCAAATACTTCTAAAAATCAGCGAGAAATCCATGTGCCTTTGAAATTATTTTATAGTTGTGTAGCTCTATTTTATTTAATAATAAAATGCATTTAAGTGCTTAAGTCAGAGTAATAGAAGTTTTCACAGGTAAAAGATCACCTAGTCCAGTACTTTTGAATCTGTATTCCTCAGCGGTTTCTATTCCATAGTCTCTCAGGAAAATCCCATACCTACATGGTTTCAATCAGAAAAGCTTTCCTTTTAAGTGTTTTCTGTAGTGGTGGTCTACATAAATTTTCCTTTGACAAAAGGGTTTGGTGCCCAAAATACCCTCAAAGTTCAGAAGCCACTGATCTGGCCCATTTACTTCATTTTTTACAAGAGAAAATTTGAGTTTTTGAAAGGCAGAGTAATTTGCCTAATTAGTGATGATAATTACATTTACTATGAACAAAGCATTTTTCATTTATTAATCCTTATGGTAATATGGCTAGATTGGTACTACTTTTTCTGTTTTGTAGATGAAGACAGATTCAAGGAGATTAAGTAATTTTTCCAGTATTACACAATGAATAAATCATTGAGTCGGGATTTGAAACCATAGGGATCAGCTTTTAAGACTTGTGTTCTTTCAACTACATATTTTCCTTTCACAGCTGAAGCCAACTTCTCTGTGGATCCTGAGTGTTCTTTTTTGCAGAATTAGTTACAATTCTTAAATGATTTATTGATGTTTTACGTATACATATATATTAACATATATGTGATATATACACGTCACAATTTTCTGTGGTAATCGCGAATATTGAAACCTATGGTTTGTTATGTTTTTATGGTGCTTTGCTTCCAATGAAACAAAATCATGACACTTCAAAGGGAAACTTAACCCATATTCCTTCCTGTAATTTATTTATTTATTTATTTATTTAAAGATTTTATTTATTTATTTGAGAGAGAGAATGAGAGAGAGAGAGCACGAGAGGGGGGAGGGTCAGAGGGAGAAGCAGGCTCCCCGCCGAGCAGGGAGCCCGATGCGGGACTTGATCCCGGGACTCCAGGATCATGACCTGAGCCGAAGGCAGTCGCTTAACCAACTGAGCCACCCAGGCGCCCCCTTTCCTGTAATTTAGACAGGAAGCAGTTTTAAGATAATTTGGTTAAAAAGACAAAACTGTGCCCTCAGAATCTAAAATAATTGTTTGTCCAAAATAGGCCAACGATGTAAATAGTAATGGCATAGAATGGAGCAACGAGAATGACCGCCTCTTAGTCTGCCAGGTGTGCATCAAGCTGGCAGACATCAACGGCCCGGCGAAAGTTCGGGACTTGCATTTGAAATGGACAGAAGGCATTGTCAATGAATTTTATGAGCAGGTAAGTTGAAACTTGAGATGGGTGGGATTTTTGGGAGCTGCCATCTGAAGACACAAGTCTTTGGGATTTGGATAGCTATGTTAAATGTTTGAAGTCTGGTTACTTTGACCAAAAACGGTTAGAAATTGTAGAATTTGCGCTGGTCTTAGTATTTTCTCAGCTCTCTTTTGCTGATAAAATTAAAAAAATAGCTCATTCCCAACTGCCATGGGTCGAATGTCCCTTGAGGCTAGAGGTAAGGTCTCTTTTAAAACCCTGAGTGCCTATAGCTTTTCCAGATGAAATTGTTTTTAATTGATTCAGGGTATACTTGGGTTGATATTCTTTAAATATAATTATTTTCAACTCTGCTGTAGAAAGACTGCTGACTGCCTTAGAAACACCCACTGGGTAAAAGTCCTGGCAGAGGGGAAGACATTTGAGGGCTAGAAATGGGGATAAAGTGGGTATTTCGTGGTTTTTTAGGATTCAAAGATAAAAACATGCTCTTATAGGTTTTAAAATCGTGTCTTTAAACTAATACTCCTGTAACTGAACTCAAGTTTGTATGCCCCCCACGTAGCAAAGCCAGTCACTGAGATGTTGAGTATACATCAAAGAGTTTGAGAGGCAGCCAAACTAGGAAGGGCAGGCCTCAGATTTGCCTCCTCAAAGTGGGAGAGTCGGGAACATGTAAAGGCAAATGAAAAGGATGTGGGTATAAGGGAGAGGAGCTGTGGGATTTCAAAATCAAGGAAAGGAAGTTAGGAAGTAGAAAAGGGTTGAAGTCCTTTCATTGTCTGCACCTGTATGGAGCTTCCGCATATATTTTCATGTGACCCAGGACCAGAAAATGGCATCCTCAGCATGATAGAAGGGAGGCGGGGGGTTAGGCCCTTCTACATTAAAAGTTTATCCATTGGACACTTGTCCGTGCTCAGAGAAGGTCGGTGGTCCTGACTGGTTCTGGCTGGTTTCTTGGTAAAGCCTTAAGTCTCTGCCAAACCACTAAATCAACACTCTGCTATCGTGAGGTCGGGCAAGAACATTATCTATAGAAACATGGTGGCAAGCTGCATTCCAAGAACAAGCAGATTTGGTGCACTTATTAGTCCCATTAACCCTTTGGTTACTGGTTTCACTACCACTTTACAGACTCTTTATCGGTTTTTTTTGTTCAATTCTGAAGCTCCCTACAACGTAGAAGTATATGGATTTCCCCACAAGCCAGCATTTCATTATCTCCAAAATACCGAATACATCTTCTTGACTTTGGAATTGCATTCCTTGGGAATCCTTGTTGACCCTAATAATTAGGCAAGATCAAGAGGTCTACCAAATGAGGCCTTCAAGACAGAGTTTTCTTACCAGGAGTCGCTACTCCAGTAGGGGTGATGAATCTATTATACCGTGTTACATCTGGACTGCACTGAAGAGTGAATGTGCAGTGTCTTTCACCCACCTCAGCTAAACATCCCACCACAAGGCTTACTCTGCTATTTACAAGTTACAAAATACTATACGGTGAAAAAACCATGGGAATACATAAGTATTCCAAGATTATTATTTACTATTTTGATACATTTGAACGAAATTATATATAATTTGGAGATCTAAATGGTTATAAATATCTACCTAAAGGTTGCAATATACTATTTGCATGTTCCCATTTTCATTCTCAAAGATAATTGAAGCCAGCCTCAGACTTCAGTTTGTATTCACAGAAGAATTTTACGTTAAGGAAAATGCCATCTTTATATTATCTGTGCAAACAGAGGTAATAAAATAGTAGTGTATGCCAATTTTAGAAGACTAATTCAGTAAAAGAACATTAGAAAATTGGTAAAACCTAGAGACATTTGTGATGATACAAAACGGAAGTTTTTTGTTTTTTTTGTTTTTAAAGAAGTTGTGAATGTTGTTAATCATTTAGCAGTTGCAATAAATGTAGAGGAAACCCCCCCCCAAAAAGAACATTAGAAAAGTTCATTTAGACTCAATTTATAATTTAAGTATATAGAATGCTTATTAAACTTGGAATCCAAGCTTGAGGTTGAAGCCTGGTTTCTCTTCTTTACCAGCATTGTGACCTTAGGTAGGTTATTTGACCTCTGTGCCTGTTTCTTCATTGTTATAATAGAAATATTTGATGGTATCTACCTCATAAGGTTGCTGTGAGGATTGGGTGAATTAATAAAGTTCTTAGAACAGTTCCTGACACATAAATGCTCAGAAAATGTCAGCTATTATAATTCCAGATCTATCACTAAAAACATTATTTCAGACAGTTTTACTTAGTCTAAGTTTCATTATTCACATGTTAAAGGAACTAATCTAAAGTCCTACTCAATCTTCATCAACACTATTAAATTTCTTTCTCAATCTGGTTATACTATTAAGCATCCTTCGGATGTGGATGCAAAATTCTAATCTTGCCCAACTTTTTATTTTATTATCCTGTCTTTATATCCCTCTAGCCATTTAAGTGCCATGGGCTTAGAAAAGCCAAACTCCTATTTAAAAAAAAAAAAAAAGCCAAACATAAAATTATAGAATCCTGTGGAATAAACCCAACTGAGGTTTGTTTTTTTGCTTTTTTTGGGGGGGGGGTTTTGGTAAACAGTGGTTTTCTTCCTCACAGAAGGTAAAATCCTAGATTTTTAATCATGGGCCAGTCACTAGAACAGTTTCTGGTTGTTTCCCTAGGACAGTGTTGCCTCATCAGAGAGAGACGGCTGCTTGCCTACACAGTTTATACATTCTGAAGTTTATTCATTCCCCACCAGTTCAGACAGTAGGAACAAAAAGGTCAATAGTACCCTTTGGGGAATGCTCAGTACCGTGCTAAATACTTAATATTGCTTTTCATCCTCATAGCAACCTTGTAAAGTACATTAAGATTTTACACGTGAAATGGGCATAGAGCTTGCTCAGCACCGCACAGGTAGTAGGTGGCAAAAGCAGGCTTTGAAAACTGCATCTGTCTGATTTCACATTACGCTCTCCGAAGCCCTGGAGACCACAGGGGGAGGGTGTCAGAGGGCAGGCGGTTGGACCCCGACTCCTCACCTCAGCCACCCATACCTCTGCTTCTGCTGTTAGAAACGGGTAGGGTGTTGAAAGGCAATTGCAAAATTCAACTCTGGGCATTTAAGGTACAACAACTGGGCTGATACCATCTCCCCCTAGGAGAAAGACATAAAATTTTTCAGGTTGTTAGATTTGATTTTTGTGTGTGTGTGTGTGTATTTTTCTTGTTCACTGAACATCAATCATCCTGGTTAACTGGTGGGGTGTGAAAATAAAATCTTGTTTAGGATTTCTCAGATATTGGAGAAATTCATACAGTTGAAATGACAGTAATTAGACACTTCTTTGTAAAAATTATTTTGATGTAGACTATGCATATTAAAAAAACCTCAAGATAATTTTCACAGCAAAGCTCAGTGGTTATTCTTTCAACAGTTCAAAATGTACTTTTCTTTTTAAAATGATCAGGGAGATGAGGAAGCAAACCTCGGTTTGCCCATCAGTCCCTTCATGGATCGTTCTTCGCCTCAGCTAGCAAAACTCCAAGAATCTTTCATCACCCACATCGTGGGTCCTCTGTGTAATTCCTACGACGCGGCTGGCTTGCTGCCGGGTCAGTGGGTAGAAGCAGAAGAGGACGAGGACACCGAGAGTTGTTATGACGAAGAAGATGGTGAAGAATTAGATACAGATGATGAAGAACTAGAAGACAGTCTAAATCCTAGTAAGAATATAGGGATGCTGTAATTTCTTAAATGGATCTTTGCAGTTAGTAACATTAAGTTTGGATCTTTGTTTTTAGGGTGTTTTTTTTTGCCGGGGGGGCAGGGAGAGAGAATCCCAAGAGGGGCTCGATCTCACAACCCCGAGATTGTGACCTGAGCTGAAATCAAGAGTCAGACGCCTAACTGCCTGAGCTACCCAGGTGCCCTTGGATCTTTGTTTTTAAGCTACAGATTAAGTAGTTCTATCTTGAGTACTCTCTGAATGTTCAGATTGAATGGTCTCTTGAGTAACTAACTCCTGTGTGCCGGGGAACGTGCTAACGCGGTCGCATGCGGGCTTGGTTAAAGTGGTGTCTCTTGGGGCACCTGGGTGGCTCAGTCATTAAGCGTCTGCCTTCGGCTCAGGTCATGATCCCAGGATCCTGGGATCGAGTCCCGCATCAGGCTCCATGCTTGGCGGGAAGCCTGCTTCTCCCTCTCCCACTCCCCCTGCTTGTGTTCCCTCTCTGGCTGTGTCTCTGTCAAATAAATAAATTTAAAAAAAGTGGTGTCTCTTTGGGGCCAGTCCACTTCAGGAGGCTCTACCTCTGCACGCACCGTAGGGCTGTGTCACCATGGCTGATTTTGTGAGGTGAGGTGTTCGCGTGGCTAGCGCTCCCCCACCTGCTAAAATCTGCCCTTCCTAAAGACTTGGAAGATGGAACACAATAGTTGGGAGAAGAGGAAACATCTTCTCTAGCCCTAAGGGGAGAACCAAGTTTTGTGTTGTTATGGATTTGAATTGCCAAACTGTAGGGACATAGTTTTCTATATAAAGCAGTGAATATAAATGGAAAAAAAAAATTCGTCACCATTGTAGCTATAAATGAAATCCGTTATTTGCTCTTTAAAGTAGAATTTAAGGGGTGCCTGTGTGGCTCAGTCAGTTAAAACGGCTGCCTTCGGCTCAGGTCATGATCTAAGGGTTCTGGGATCAAGTCCCACATCGGGCTCTTTGCTCAGTGGGAAGCCTGCTTTTCCCCTGCTTGTGCTCTCTCCTGTTCTGTCAAGTAAATAAATAAAATCTTTAAAAAAAAAGAATTTAAATTATATCTAGCATTCCAAGCAGGCTATAAATGAAAACTGATAACATAATTACAAAGAACTACCCCCACCTCCCCAGTTGTATTCAGGATTAGCATAATAAAGAGTAGTCTTCTACCTCTACCCTCTGAGCAGCATCATGGACAAAGTTGACTGGCTTCCAAAAATTATTTATATTCACTGAAACCTTGATACTGGTGTTTAATTCAGTACTTAAATCCTAAAAAGGTTGTTGAACTTCACATTGCTATCATTCATTTCTCCCCTCTCACCCCACCCAGTCTTCCCTAATCCCCTTCTCGGCTTTATTTTCACCTAATAACACCACCATCTCATGTTTTGCTGCTGCTTTTGCTTACCTAGGTCTTTCCATTAGAAGATGAGCTCCATAGTGCAGAGATTATTTCTATCTTACTGTTCTGTGACTACAGCCCCAGCGCCATATATAAATGCCTGGGAAATTATAGGCACTGGGATATTTAGTGAATGAACGAGGGCATTGTATCACTAGGATTACAATATACTGCTTTTAAATTTCACAGAACCACGAAGGAGGAAAGGCAGACGGCGAATATTCTGTCAGCTAATGCACCACCTCACTGAAAACCACAAGATATGGAAAGAAATGATAGAGGAAGAAGAGAAATGTAAAGCTGATGGGAATAAACTGCAGGTGGAAACTCCTTCCTTACCTCAAGCAGATGACATTCAGGTCATTGAAGAAGCAGATGAAGAGGAGGAGAGACAGTTTGAATAAAAGAAAAGGCATATCGTAGAAGCCTGGAGGGCTGTGCCCGGGGTCAGAAATCCCTGCCTGGCACTCAGGGGACAGACCCGACACAGACCATTCCTGCGGGGACAGGCCCGGCTACTGGGAGAAGCCCCCGCTGCTGTGTGCGCTCACCACACGGACAACGCAAGCATCCTTAGAGCATGGCTTCCGTGGACTCATGTTGCAAAGCTCTTCGTCGAAGGCTTCACTGGTATACCAGTACTCTGTCATAATAATGCTTTGCCGGGTAGTAAGCTCTTCTTTTTCGTGAGCGGTAGCTAGAACTAAAAATGCAAGTGACTTCCGTTTCCAAAGTGCCCAGAACTTTTTGCTTTCGTGAAAACAGGATTCATAGTGTTTTTTTCTGAATGTCTTTTAGGTGTTTTGAACATTTTGGCGGGAGCGGGGTTGGGGTGGCGGAGTCAGTGCCTGTCTAAAAAGGAATCCAGTGTTGCCTTTCAGAGGGTCTGTTCAATGCAAGACACCGTTCAGTGCTGTGCTCCCAGCCGGGTTTATCCATGAAAGACTGAGTGACCTTTGTTAAATATAATAGAATCCAGGTGCATCAATTTCTGATGCTTCTTACTGTTGCGTGTTACCTACTATGTGTGTTTGAGTTCTGCTCAGAGTATTCAGGTTTACCATGGACATCAGAAGTCTGAATTCCAGTCTTACTGACTTACATTCCATGGTTGGATTTTTGAAGCTGTTTCGGGTGTAACAACGAAGGGATTTTCTTCTTTAGTCAAAACTGTTCTTACTACTATTGCTCAGGATTCGTATTTTTAAACATTTAGTTTAATATAAACACAGATTTGTCAGAAGAAAAAGGAACTGTCCTAAAGAGGTTAACCTTTTATGAAATGAGCATTATTCTTTCTTAGATAAATTTGAGTCTAATCAAAAGAAATAGGAGCCCCGAAAGCCACAGCGAATAATTGGAATATGCTTATGTCTGGATCCATGTTAGGTGTTGTGCGTTTAGTCACTGTAAAACTGATGCTTATCCTTGTGCATTTCCTGCCGCCTCGAGACGACACGACAGAAGTGACCTAGGACCACTCAGTACCTGCTAGAGCCCAGCTGTGAGTCTAATCTTTAAAAAAAAAAAGTGGGAATACTTAATTGCAAAGAAAATGGACCATATTTACAATGTTCATGAACTCCTAGGATACAGATATGTACCTGAGTCATGAAAGATTTTTGATGATCTAAAGAACAGCCTAAATGATAACAGGATGGGAGACCAATCTTTTTTTTTTTTTCTTGGAGGCCCTATTTTAGATCTGTGTGGCTTTTGTAGACAGTAAAACCGTTAATTTTCCAAGATGATTCCTTTTAAGTATAATGTCAGGCAATTTCTTACCTACCTAGAATATTTGGCATATCTCAAAGATATAAAGATCTATAGAAATGTTGGAAGTTTTGATCTTGTAAAATATTGAATGAATCACCAAGCTTTATTTATTAGACATGTTGAGTGCGAAGTTCCTCCCTGCCACTTTTGCTACAACTGCCACATAATTTGTAACCTGGTCGCACATTACTAAGTAATAAAATTTTAACTAATTTATTGAGTTTGCACTTAAAATATATATATCCTGGGCTCTTACTTCCCTGGTATACATTTTGCATCCTGCGTAAGTATATTTCTGCTATTGCAAAGTACAAGTGTATAAATTCACATGTGCACATATGCATAATGAGACTCAGATTTCCTATTAAAATTTTGTATTGGGGTTAATGTATATATTTTCTCAAAAGGAATGTTTTTATTAAAAATACTGTTACCGAGAACTCATTTTTAAATAATTTAAATTTAATCTTTGCTAAATAATTGACATATTAAAATAGACCAAAGAAACACTAAGAAGTATCCTTGCTGAAACAAATTCATAAACTTTAAGAAATGAATGTGACTATATTAAGTATATACAGTGCTATTAAATGCAATCTTACTTGAAAAATTGCCATAAGGGATCCCTGGGTGGCTCAGTCGATTAAGCATCTGCCTTCGGCTCAGGTCATGATCCCTGGGTCCTGGGATCGAGTCCCATATCGGGCTCCCTGCTCTCGGGGAGCCTGCTTCTCCCTC